CTAACTCTCCTGAGGATTACTTTTCAACACTACCACCAGAAACACATGTATTAAACTGTAATGAGCATTCTATAACACAGTGCAAATTTATCCCATGAAGGCTTGGGCATGAATTGAGGGGTCAAGGTGTGTGAAATAGGAGTGGGTACTCTGAGACCGAGACGTGCTCTTGAAATCAAATTGTCCTTTCTTCTGGCTATGCTTGAGTTGATCTTGGTTGTACATTTTCCACGTATCGCAGAAAATTCTGTGCTTGTCCAGCTTTCCAGTGTTACAGATCAGATGGCATCCAGTTCTGAATGCAGGATGAGGCATTCAGTCAAAAGCCAGGAGCAGCTTTGCAAAGGACAAGTTGTTGGCAGGTAGAAAAGAGTATGGCTTTACATCAAAACTCTATGCATCTGCTTTGAAGAATGCCAGGGGCTTCACAGAGCAGCCCTATTGGCCACAGGTACATTAAGAACAATTGAGCCTGCTTGGCCTCTGGCCCAGGTGGCAGAGCAGCTTTCATCCCAGCCTTGTTTCTGCTATACAACTCTCTTGTGCCCATCCAGGGCCAGCCTTACGAATGATATAGTAATGGACCAGAGCAGCACACCCAACTGCAGTATATGTTAATTCCAAAGTCCATAGAGCCCCACTAAATACTGCACTTTTTTCTGCATAATAGATGGTAACAAGACTTATCTTTCATAATAGATGGTAATAAGACTTATCTGATATGTCCCACACATCTGAACTACTTAAAAGCTCACCAATGAGGCAGGTCCCTAAACTTTTGTGGATTTTACATTGTTCTGGCCTGCATATGTAATATACTGAGGGACCTAGAGTGCTTTATAATTTCTATTCACAAAGAACAATCAACATAATACCATGAGTGCAATGAGTGAGTATGCTATCAAGATGACTAAGGGCCTTCTGAACTATACTGATAGAGAACAGACTATCAATAAATATAGCATTGAGATGAAATAGTTAAAGGGTGTTTCTGAACTTGTCACTTGAAGGCAAACTATATTTGATTGTTCAGAAGAGCATTTTTTAAGCACTCTTCTGAAGGAATTTATCTTCAGCCTCTCAGTAGTCACTTTTCGTGTCTGTGGATAGGGCCCTCCAGCTAGTCCTATAAAATTTTCTCTTCATCTCAGTCTACACATTCATACTCATACCTGCCCACAAACACTCAAACATCTGTCTCTGCTTGAAAGCTGTGGTTTCCTCCCTCCCGCTTGCTTCAACAGAGCTCATCTGGATGGGGACTGGGGAGGAGAGAGGTGGGCAGGAGGAAGCTGAAGTTCTTGCTCAGATCTCTGATCTGTGCCCCACACTGTGTCTCCAGCGCCACAGAAGTAAAAGCTGCTGTCTTCGGGGTTCACGCTGCTCACAGTCAGAATGGAGAATGTGAAATTTGGGCGGCTAATGGGAAACTTGTCCTTGGTAAATCCACTTTCATAAGTAGCCTCAGAGCCCTGATTTGCCGTTGCAATCAGTGTCAAGCTCTGTCCAGGGAGCTGTCGGTACCAGAACATTAGGGTAAGTTGGCTATCAGCCTCACACTGGATTCTCACAGAGATTCCACGTTGACAGATGTTCCTGAGTGGCTTTTGAGAGAGGATAGCGCCAAACACAGAGCCTGGTTACAGGGAGATAGAGAAACCCATGAGCGCTGACCAGCATGTCCCCAGGAAGAAAACACTTTTTACTATTTGCTCCAATGTCACCTTGGTTTCCAAAGAACCTTGCCTCCATTTTGTTCTGCCAACTGTTATTCTGTCATATCCTACAATCCAACATCTTCCCCCCATTCTCTGACTGGTGGCCTCAGACCTTCTACTCTTCTATTCAACGTTAATATTAATCCCAGACTTCCCCACCCAATAAGGCTCGTACCTTGTCCTAGGAGAAGTAGCAAGAAAGTCGGCATCTTTAGGTGATATCCTCTCTTCTTCCATGAGAAAAGACACTGAGAAGTCGAACTCAAGGTCATCTTTCCTCACCACTGTGTAGTTCCTTTCCTGTAAATAGATGTTGAGTTTCTGCAAAATAGGAAGAAAATTAGTCTGCCCCTAGTGGAGCTGAGTAATTCTTCACTCACAAAGCATCCCAGCATGTAACTGCCATCCATCCACTATATGTCCACCACCTCTCCATGCATCATTATTCAGTGCCATGTATGTGCTACTCTTTGGGTATAAAGCAAGAAAGGGATGCAGCATTGACTTCAAATAACTAAAAACTTTAGGATATGAAAGAATCTTATATAACTCAGAATTTCAACTGTCTGTTGGGTCTTTATTGTCCCAAACTATCCCAGTTATTCCTCCCTCAACCCATACTCTAGTAAACTGGCCTCTATTTTTGTTTTCCTCCCTCCAAAAACAATATTTTATTGTTCATAAAAGCTGAACTAGCATTTTTGTGCACTTACTTCATGCTTTCCATGTATGATTTCAGCCTATAAATTGGGCTACTTAGACTACATCAAATCATTTTTACAGATGAGGAAAACATAAAATCTTAAATAACCCTCCCAAGTTCACATAATCCAAGAGTAAGTGAGCTAGGCAAGACTCAAGTCAACGTCTATATAACCTCAAAACCCAATGTGAACATCAATATTGTCAAGAATGGTCACACTTTTGCAGTTGTCTGAACTTAATAAAATCTGGTAAATGAATGAGAATGACAGGCCAAACACCCTAAAGGAAATAAGCACCTTTAGAAACAAATTCTAGTAAAACTAACCTACTTTATATTTTTAATTCAGAAAGTCCATCCAATATAAAATGTACTCTTAAAAACATAATGGCTATTTTTAGGTGGTGTTAATATTACATTAAAAATTAATATATATTACAGGACTTACTCATATTTTGGAAATATAAAACTGGAAAAAACAATTTACCATATGATTAAGGAAGTGCAGCATGTTAGGGCTAATAATATTTCAGTAACCCTTTCTGCTATGGCGTGTGTGTGTGTGTGTGTGTGTGTGTGTGTGTGTGTGTGTATGTGTGTAGTCTGTATATCTATGGGAAGTGCCAGAGGCAGTGAGTGATGTAAGGTAAACCCTGCTAAGTAGTAGGCTGATGAAAGGTATAGAATACTCCATTTTTTCTTGACATCTAGGGATACATTTTAAAAAATGTAGTCAAATATATCAAAGTTTCTATCAAAACAACCCAAGATCTTTTTCTAGTTCATTCATCCTAAATCCTAAAAATTACCAAGTGACTCTTATTCTTTAAAGAACTCCAAATCTTTCCCCCTCAGTTTTAGATTATAAAAAGTATTTTCACTTTTATAAAACAACAGAAAACACATTCTTCTCTCTTTTCATTGTCTTCCATCAGCACTTGTGTCTCTAGACTTTTCTTTCAGGGTGTCATGGTTACCATTATCATACAATTTTAATGTATTTATTTATTGAATTAATACATGCACATAGTTAAAATTTCAAAAAACACAAAAAGTAAGGTACCTTCCCCAGAAGCAATTGGTCAATAAGTGTTGTATCTGTTATAAGAAATATTCTTGACTTATTCAAGTTTACAAGTATCTGATTGGTTTTCCTGTACCTTGCTGTTTATTTTATTACCAATGTATTCTTAGAAATACATTTAAAAGCATAGTTTATATCAAAATATACATATTTGCCTCATTATTATTTACCATTTTATTGAGAATTTTCAAATCTCTATAGAAGTTGAAAGTTTTATATTGAACATTCATGTGCCTACCACTTAGATTTTACCACCTTGATAAAGCTACTTATTGCTTTATCATAAAACTAACCATCAACCCATGTACATTTTGGATACATTTAAAAATGAGTTGAAGGCATACTTCACTTCTAAACACTTTAGCATGCATATAATTAACTAGTGTTCAATATTTATTCATGGTTCTTTCTTAAGGTAAATTTGCATATAGTAAAAGACACAACTCTTAAGTACCATTAAATAAATTTTGACAAATGCACACACCTGTCAAATCTATCAAGCTTTCTAATATTTTTTTGAAGTTATAATTTTTTACTATGTTTATTCTTTTACTAAATTTCTTGGGATGACATTGGTTTGCAAAACCATATAGGCTTCAAGTGTATAACTGAACAAAACATCATCTGCACTCTGCATTGTGTATCTATCACTCCAAGCAAAGTCTCTCTCTTGTATTCCTAAAGGACTCAATTATTATTTACAGACAGGATAGACGTTTCATTCTTTAAAATGCACAGAAATGCCTGGCTGTAGTGGCTAGTGATTGAGTGTGACCTATAAACCAGAAGGTCATGGTTTGCTCAATTCCCTAAGAGGGTTGTGCAGGAGGCAGTAGATGGATGATTCTCTCTCATTATTGATGTTTTTATCTTTCTCGCCCTTCCTCTCTGAAATTAATAAAATATATATTTTAAAATACACAGACATTTTTCCAGATGATCATGTGTACAGATGTAACCTAATTTTTATAACCTCTGCAATAGAATTTATTCCTTACCTGTTTAGAATTTTTTAGTAAACATTAGTGACCACTTAGAAAACCTGGAGAAAGATTGCTTTTTATTAGAGTTGTTCTATTTTTAGATTGAATGAAGAGAATTCAAATTCTACATACTTTCTCTTAAATCAACAGAAGGAGAATAAAATTTATCTGAAGAAGGAGTTTAGCTTGTGTGATGCCCCCATAGTGAAACATTGATTAAGAGCAAAGACATTGAGCTAAGTGGCAAATGACAGTAAGGGGGACAATAAGGCAGGAAGAGAAAAATTGGTAAAAAATGATAGAACAGAGCTTTTTCCATTAAATATGTGTGAGGATGTTCCCTCTTGACTGGAGTAGAGTCTCATGAATTTAGATTGGGGATAATACACAAGTCTGGGCAGACTAATTTCAGAATGGCCCCTAATTCAGAAATGACAGTGCATGGGGCATGAAAAATATCCTGTGCTTTCCAGGCCAAGATGTACATTCATGGGCTTAGTTCCACCTAGTGGCTACCTTTGTTCTAAGTAGCCAGTGTAACTCAGCCCAGAGTTAAGGTCACTTCCCTCTGGCACATGCCCTTTTTGTGCAGAGAGGATGTGGTTGTGCAGCGCTGTGGATATACTGCTGGCACAGAAGTACACAGATGTCTGGTTGGTGCTGGCAGACCCCAGGATCAGGGAGAAGCCCTCCTTCTTCTTCCTGGAGACACTGTACCCATCGGGGAAATCTCCTTTCTCATAACTGTCAACCCCATATGAGAAGTGGAGCAGCTGCAGCCCCATAGCTGGGTCTTGTCGATACCAGAACATTCTTTCATGGTCCATATCCTGTGAACATTCCATCGAAACTTTCTCTCCCTTTCTTTTTATCAGATGTCTTGGGACTTGGGTTACTTCAGCATCCATGAAACCTGTGAAAGGAGGACAAAAGAGGTCATCAAGAAGCTTGAAGAAGAAAAATTTTTGTATTCAGAGTCTAGAAATAATAAGTTAGGAGTTCACCACCAACTTCCTGGACTCACTTACTCCCAGGAAACAAAAGGCCACACCACAGAGGAGCCTGAGTTCCATAGCAGGTTTGAGGCACAAATATATTTTCTTCGAGGCTTAAGTTACAGGCTGATCATCTCTGATGTCATTGTCCCTGCCCATACTCATGATCCCTCAGCAAACCTCAGATTCTAAAAAAGTTTAGAGGGGTTAGAGCAAAAGCCACCCCTTTTCCTTACAGATGTGTGTGTGTGTGTGTGTGTGTGTGTGTGTGTGTGTGTGTAGAAAAAAGCATAGCAGGCCTGAGACAGCTATCTTAGAAGGACCTTCTTGCAGGGATTGCATCTGGGTATCTGGGTTATAGTAGTGTCCCTACTGTTTAGTTCGTTGTGTCTAGGCTGCTTGCACAATGTGGTTTATATTGAACACCCACTTTGCTTCTTTGAATCTGAAATTTTGGAATGTGTCAGGGAGAGGGTACCTGTGTGACCACCTGTGTTCGTTTACTAATGCTTCCATAGTGGTTGACAAAACCCAGAAATTTGTTTTCTCACTATTCTGAAGTCTAGAAGCCCAAGATCAAGGCATTAACAGGGCTGGTTTCTTTAGAGGAACCAATTGAATTATAGAAAGCCATCTTCTCCCCTTGTTGTTACATGATCTTCTTTCTATGTGTGACTGGGTCCTAATTTCCTTTTCTTTTTTCTTTCTTTTCTTTTTTAAAAGACAATAGTCATATTGGGAAAGGACCTATTCCAATGACCTCATTAACATAAATTATTTGTTTAAAGACCTTATCTCCAAATACAGTTACATCCTGAGGTACTGGGGCATAAAACTTCAACATATGAATTTTGAAGAGATGCAATTCAGTCCATAAAACCAGCCATGAAAAATATCTGGTTGCTGAGTCTCCGGTGGGCTTCTCTGGGCAATAACATTGCACACAGGTGATTGCATTGTCATAGCTGGGGTGAAAGTGTATGGCCTCATGGGAGGGAGGAAGTGTAGGACATCTCATATAGATTCCTCCACACTCTGCCTATGTCTTTTCCCTTATGATCTGGCTGTGTATCCTTACCAGGTCTGTGTCATAAACCTTAGCCATCCTGTGTGCATGACCAGAGACCTCGTGGGGAACTTGGGAAACAATCATGAGGTCTGAAGGGTAAGAATGAATTTGCCAGGTGGGCCTCGCAGAGGAAACAGTGTGTACAATCGGATGGGGTCCAGGTAATTAGGGGACAGTTACGAGTGAAATGCAGTTATAAAATAACACAAAATAAGGTGTTGAGCCCTGAGAAGGGAAATTCAGGGCCAAGACCTGAAATTAGAAAAGCAGTTTGAATGCAAATTAAAGTAGGACTGGAGAGTCCAATGCTATTGTTGGTGAGGGTGGTGGGGACGGGCAAATGCAATGGACTGGGAAGTCTGTGGGGCCCTGGGCAGAGGCCCTGAGGCCCACTGTGTGTTTGAAGTAGAGAGAATCACCCTCCAGCAGGTGGTACCAGAGAAGTCGGATTGATATCAGGTGAATTCTGGTAAAGGGTCTGGGCTGAGGAAGCCTTATTGAAAGAGCAGAGAGAAGTAAGGGAAAGAAGACCATGACAGCCCATTCATGGTGCTGTCCTCCACCAGGTCCTGGGATGGACTCCTACTGTCTCCAGTGAGGTGAGCAGAGAAAGGCTTCTGTGAGGGCAGTAGCTTCCCCTGGTAAGGGCAGGGCTCAGGAAGACACAGCCACTTCTCCCCTTGTGTCAGCCCTATTTGAGAAGAGAGGAAGTGGCTGTACAGTGTTGTGGGTTAACTACTGGTAGATATGTCTGCAGGTTAGGAGGGATTCTCCATATTACTTTAAAAAATGCCATCTATTTTTGAATCTTCCCATCTGTCGGTTCCCCTGATGCCAACGGGCTAATTGATTGTGGCCTCATTCCTGGCTCTTGTCTGAATCTGCACTTAAAGGTCATAGTATATATTTTGGTCACATCACAGAGACTCCTTCTTTTCTGAACCTGAAACTTACTAGCTGGGATTTTAGTGACCTCAGCATCCTCAGACACTGTGTATGAAATGAAATGGTACTTGAAGAGAGAGGTTAGGTGTGATACCTATGTCTAACCACCCGAGAAAGGTTTAGTGTAAGGGTGTGGCATATCAAGTTCAAGGACATCCTATTTGTTCCCATGAACCACTATTCTAAGGAGCTAAAGGGCTAAAGATCAGATAGAAGCCCCAGTGCTCATGGCAGGTGAGTTCATGAAGGGTTGTCTGTGTTAGCTCTGGTGTTACTCAAACAAAATCTGGATGCCAGTGAGCCAGCCTGTGACATAATATCTCTGCCATATGTCTGTGCTCAAAGCTACCTCCCAAAGTCAAGAGGGAGCCATGCCCATTTTTTCCATAGCACCTGGAGGGATATTCATGTACCACTTGTCAATCGGAATGAAAGTAGCTGGTGGCCTCTGTTTAAATAAGGTCTATAGAAGTATATTCGTATTTTTGTTGCCTTCTTAGACTTTAAATTTTTATTAATTTTTTTCAATTACAGTTGACACACAATATTATATTAATCTCAAGTGCTTAAAATTATATCTCCTTGTACATTATTGTTTCAGCATCACACCACACCAATTTTTATTAATGTAGAGTGATTAAATTTTCTAATTATTTCCATAGCCGAATGAAGCATTATCATTTCTAGTGTCTCCCTAAACACCTCCTCAAAACTGCTTTTATAAATTTACTCAATCCTGCACATTTACATTCATTCCACTGACTCTTCTGACCTCAACAAGTCTTTTTTGGGAGGGCTATGCCAGTGTTCCTTCTCCTGAACCGACATTAATTGTGCTCAGTCCCCTTGGATGACTGAGGCCAATCTGCCATTGAGGATTGTGACATAGAGGGGAAATAGTTGTAACATCCAAACCCCTTTTCTCTTTAACTTTTTCTCCAGATACACTTCATTTGGCCCACCCTGTGCTCTCTTTTTACCTTTCTTATATTAATCTAAAAACTGAGATGTTTGTCCTCCTAGCTTAGCCCAGATCTAGAATATGTTTTCTGTTCCATATTTTTATTTTCTTATTCTTAGACATTCCCTTTTACTTTTCTATACATTTATTCAACCAAGAACACATTTCATATTTATTTTTAATATTCAAGGAACTTGTAGGCAATCCCAACAAAGAACTGAGAGAAAATCATGGCTTCTCCTAAAAGGAGGGGAAAGGACTTGGATTCCTGGATGCCCAGGGGGAAACCTAAACATTTCATGTGTATATTTGTATGCATGTATCCATGTGGTTGTATGCCACTTTATGTGATGGTGGAACCTGCTGGGAGCAACAATAGGGTCTGCCATATTATATTTCCTGGTGAATAAAACGGTACGGAACAGAATCCTCGGCAGTGTCAAGCAGGTAGTTTAGGGCTGATTGGGAAAATAAAAGGATCATATGGTTCAGTGGTACCCAAGAGAAGTAACAACAACCTTGTCAGGGTAACATATGGCACAGAGTAAACATGGGGCTGGAGTAGAAGAAAAATAAGCTCCACTAGAAACATAATTTGTCTTATTTATATGCACACATAAAAGCCCCTAGACTCTCCCCAAATTGTATGGGGAAAACTTTGCAGGGAGCTTAGCTTCTGGACCAGTGAGATGGGGGGCTGGGGAGCTGATCTAAGAAAATATTGATTCATTCATTCATTTAACATCACTTTCTTTGGGCACTTTGGTAAGTGTGAAAATTAAAAAAAAAAAAAGTAAATAATATAGACATGGTCCCTGCTCTCATCAACCTCAATGTCTATTCTTAGGGCAAATTTCAAATTACAAACAATTGAGTGGATTAGTTGCCATGATGATAGAAGTCCAGGCTATCATACAAGCACCTAGCAGAGGAACTAACCAAAGCAGTCAAAAACTCAAAGACACTTTTCTAGAGGAAATGACTTCTCAATTCATATGCAGGAAAATTGTTATTAGTAGGTATCCAGGTAGATAGGGAGGGAAGGGTGCTCCAGGAAAAATGAACCCCAGGTGATGAGCCAGGAGTGAGTCAGCATAGGACATAGTTGGACACATGAGAGAGGTGGAATACATCTGGTAGAAAGGAAGGCAGTTGTGGTAACTGTAGAAAGAGGAAGTTCACATTAGGATGGTAGGCAGATATGCAAACACCACATCGTAGAGGGAGCTGAGAAGCTTGAGAAGTAACATAAGCATGAGATTTCAGTTTGTAAATGGAAGACCCTGGTGGCTTTTAAGCTCAAGAGAGTAATTTGTGGGTTGGATCAAGCAACAGACTAGAAAGGAGGGTGACTACTTAAAAGGTGGTTAAAGAATCCACGTGAGAGATGAAGTTTGCTGGACCATGATGTTATCAGTGAAGTTAGAAAAAATAGTAAAATTTGCAAAGAATTTAATATTTAGAAATGTGGAGGAGGTGGCCACAGATTAGGTGTGGAATGTGCTATTTCCCTGGTGACAAAACATCCAGGAATAGGATCTATGATATGGGACAACATTTTGTTGAGTGATTGGATTGGTATGGACTGTTCTTTGGGCAACAGAGAAGGTCAGTAAGGAGAAAGGATGACAGAGTGTGTAAGATTCCTTGTCTAGAAATCTTACAACTGTAGCCCTAGCACAGTCAGCTTGTCCTGCCTGACCTTTGACAAGCTCATTGGTATAGCAAGTGAGAGCAGGACACATTGCAGAGGGTCTGCATCCCTCAGAGGCCCAGAAGCTGGGGGCTTGGGAGGCACTATGGGCACTGATGGTGGAAGGTTTCCCTCCTGGTTGGGTGGGGCCTCCTGAGGGAGGAGCCTCCTTACTCTGTGGCTGCCTTTTTTGTGTGGAGAGCAGCTGGCCATGTAGTGCTGTGGTTAGACTGCTGGCACAGAGATACAGAGAGGTCTGGCTGATGCTGGCTGACTCCAGGGTCAGTGGGAAATTCCTCTTCTCTTTTCGAGACACAATGTACCCATCAGAAACTTCTCCCTTTTCAAAATAACCAACATTAATTGAATAATAGATCAGCTTTAGACCCAGCTGTGGGTCTTGTCGATAC